CAAATACAGTGGTGCCTCGGTTCTCAAATGCCTGGGTACTCAAACAACTTGGAACCCAAACACTGCAAACCCGGAAGTGTGTGTTCCGGTTTGCGAACTTTTTTCGGAAGCCGAACGTGCTCCGTTTTGAGTGTTAGACTTCCATTTTGAGCGTTCCGCTGAGGTCTGTCTGTTTTTGCTGTTTATTTTGTGCTTTTGTTTTCGCGGCTCTTTTTCGTTTTGTTTCTGTGACTGTTCAGCTACTGATTGATTGATTGATTGATTGTGTGACTGCAGTACATTGTTTCTTGCTTTCATTTTATGGATCAACGGTCTCGTTAGATAGTAAAATTCATGTTAAATGGCTGTTTTGGGGGTTGTTTTTAAAAGTTTGGAATGGATTAATCCATTTTGCATTACTTCCTATGGGAAAGCGCGCCTTGGTTTTGGAACGCTTTGGTTTTGGAGCGGACTTCCGGAACGGATGAAGTTTGAGAACCAAGATCCCACTGTACTTGTGCTTTTATCTGCTTCTGAGCATGGATGTCATAGGATTTCAGATAGATAGATAGATAGATAGATAGACAGACAGACAGACTTCCTAGCATAAGGTTACCAGATTTTTTTCCAAAGAATCCAGGGACACTTTTTTTTTGAAACAAGAAAAAAAAAGTTATTACTATTTTTTGTTTTTTAAAAAATAAGAAGTAATATCTGCACCGCTGGGCAGTCAGCTGGGTGCTCTTGCTCCCGGCTCGATTTGGGTTGCAGCGGTGGGTGTCCAGCGGTTCCCCTAGTTGACGTGCCAGGCGTCCCTGGTTCCCCCTTTGCAGTTGGCTCTGGCTGGCATCAGGAGCTGCCCGCTGCCGTGGCACCCGCCATTTTGTCTCGCTGGAAGTCCCCATCTGATGTGTCTTGCACTGTTGAACCAATCACGCAACATTCATTCCCTACTAATAAATCTGCAACACTTAAAATATAAATCTGGGGACATTCCAGGGACGGATTTTGTCCGGGGACGATTTGTAAATCCGGGGACTGTCCCCGGGAAATGGGGACGTCTGGTAACCATATCCTAGCAAGATGTGCTGAGGCGCTTCTTGATGGCATCGGCACATCCCATGATATGCCCTCGATGCCCCGTCTTGCAAAGTGATCAACCTCAAGTGGAAACAGAAAAGGACTGAACTAAGTAAGGAAACTGGGAATCAACACTTCAGTGATGGGGTGGGCTGTAAGAGGAGCCCTCTATTTTTATCCTAGTACTGTAACTCGTGTAAGACTCGAACTCGTGGGCACCCAATGAAGCGGAGTGCTGGAAGATTTGGGGAGGATTAAAGAAAGTCCTTTTCCATGCGCTTCCCATGTTAAACTATGGAACTCCCTCCCACTGGAAGCAATGAGGGCTACCAACTGGGATGGCTTTAAAAGGGGATTAGATAAACTCATGGGGAATAAGGCTGTGCTTTGCCCTCCACAGTTGGAGGCAGTGACGCATCTGCGTCTGAATCCCAGTTGCTGGAAACCGCAGGAGGGGAGAGAGCTCTCATGTTTGGGTCCTGCTTACGGATTTCACAATAGAGGCATCTGGTTAGCAGTTGAGAGAACAGGGTGCTGGACTAGATGGGCCATGGGCCTGATCCAGCCAGCTCTTAACAGGGGCACCCAAAGGCTCCCCTCCTGTCAGGAAGTACCAGCAGAATCCAGCTGAAATCCTTCTGCAAGATAAGTGAGAATTAAGTGCCCTGCAATTGCTATTATCTGTCCTGGTCATTAGCAATCTATCTGGGAAATAAATAAATAGATTGCAGTGGACAGAAGTGCAAGAGAGAGAGAGAGAGAGAACAGGAGGAGGTGTATATATTGACTGAGGGGTTTATAAAACTGTAGAGTTGAAAGGGACACCCAAAGGTCATCTGGCCCAACCCCTTGCAGTGCAGGAATCACAACTAAAGCATTCCTGACAGATGACCACTTTGGGTCAGTCTGGATGATCCCCTGAGTCCCTTCCAATTCTTGGTGTCCGGTCCCCAATGAGAATCTAACGAGAGAAGCCCCACAGGCACAGCCCTCCCCTGTTGTTCCTTTCCCAGAATCCGAGTGCTCAGAGGTAGACTGCCTCTGACCCTGGAGGTTCTACATAGGCACCATGCTTATTTATTAGCCATGGACAGATCTGTCCCTTCAGGGATTTGTCTAACCCCCTCTGAGCACCCTTGTAATCTATAGCGGTCAGGAGGAGGAGGCGGCACCCATTTTGGACACCCGGTCCCAAAACGTCCTCCACCCCTGCTTCAGGTACACCCCTAGCACGCCAGGGCCTCACCAGGACACACTTTTGCCACCAAGTTTCAGCTATGAAAAAAAACAAGAGTTCCCCAGATCATGTGCAAAGTGCTATCGCTGAAATCAGGGCATGCATAGGGTCACAGTTCCAGAGTCAGAGACTGTGAGGGATGTGGGGCTGTGGCGGTGGGGCTGGACTCAACGCCTCTTTCCTTTCCGTAAAGGAATATCCCTTACCCCAAGGTTCAGTGATGAAACCCTTCTGAGTCTTAAAGGGAGTGTGTGTCTTTGGTCGCCCTAGCTCTGCTGCCACCTGCTGCCACGCCTTGTTGGCGTTTTGGACCTAGAATCATAGAATCATAGAGTTGGAATAGACCACAAGGGCCATCGAGTCCAACCCCCTGCCAAGCAGGAAACACCATCAGAGCACTCCTGACATATGGTTGTCAAGCCTCTGCTTAAAGACCTCCAAAGAAGGAGACTCCACCACACTCCTTGGCAGCAAATTCCACTGTCGAACAGCTCTTACTGTCAGGAAGTTCTTCCTAATGTTTAGGTGGAATCTTCTTTCTTGTAGTTTGGATCCATTGCTCCGTGGGGACTTTTCAGCTTACAGTGGTACCTCGGGTTACAGATGCTTCAGGTTACAGATGCTTCAGGTTACAGACTCCACAAACCCAGAAATAGTACCTTGGGTTAAGAACTTTGCTTCAGGTTGAGAAGAGAAATCACGCAGCAGCGGTGTGGCGGCAGTGGGAGGCCCCATTAGCTAAAGTGGTACCTCAGGTTAAGAACAGTATCAGGTTAAGAACGGACCTCTGGAATGAATTAAGTTCTTAACCCGAGGTACCACTGTATTCTTCTTCTTTCTGCTTTTTAATTGGGTTTTATAAACAAGAATAATGTTTACAAATAAGCGTGCCAAGTTTTCTCATGTCATTTGTATATTAGCATAAGTAATGTGGAAAAAATATCTACAACGTATGTTTCACTATTAGTGGTCAATGTAAAAGGTAAAAAAGGTCAAGGACCCCTGGACGGTTAAGTCCAGTCAAAGGCGACTCTGGGGTTCATCTCGCTTTCAGGCCGAGGGAGCCGGCGTTTGTCCACAGAGAGCTTTCCGGGTCATGTGCCAGCAGGACCAAACCACTACTGGCGCACGGAGGACCGTGATGAGTGCCAGAGTGCACGGACACACCATTTCCCCACCGCAGCGGTACCTATTTATCTACTTGCACTGGTGTGCTTTCAAACTGCTAGGTTGGCAGGAGCTGGGACAGAGCAATGGGAACTCACTCCGTCGTGGGGATTCAAACCACCGACCTTCTGATCAGCAAGCCCAAGAGGCTCAGTGGTTTCCACCATAGCGCCACACGCATCCCTAGTGGTCAGTGTAGGAGTTCTTGGTCCGTGTAGTGGTTTTAACCACTAGGAAGAAGAAGTGGGAAAGGGGGGAAGAGGGGAGAGGGGAATGGTGAGTGGGGTGGGGTGGTTATGCTTCTATTCTTCTACTTAGTGTATGTGTGGGGTTTTGCGTCAGCGTTACTTGTGTGTGTTCTCTTACTATTAGCTTGTTGTATTTCCCTGGTGGCGAGAGAGGTTGTGGGTGGCCTAGAGTGTGGTTGGTTGTCTGGTTGGCTGTAGTGAGATTTGTTTTAGTGTGAGAGCGGGGTGTGTGTATTTTTGAATCAGGAAAGCCAGATGGATTCGTATGCTGTTGGCTGATTCTTGTTGTTGACTCTTTCGGCTGTGTACAGTGGTACCTTGGTTCTCAAACTTAATCCGTTCCGGAAGTCCGCTCCAAAACCAAAGCGTTCCCAAACCAAGGCGCGCTTTCCCATAGAAAGTAATGCAAAACATATTAATCTGTTCCAGACTTTTAAAAACAACCCCCAAAACAGCCATTTAACATGAATTTTACTATCTAACGAGACGGTTGATCCATAAAATGAAAGCAATAATGTACTGTACTATAAAATAAATAAGACAGTATTATATATGATGAAAATAAAAATTATTTTTTCTTTCTTATCTGCACTGATGATAGTCATTGTTTGCATGGGGGGCTTGTATTCATTTCTGTAGTCACACACTCAATCAATCATCAATCAATCAATCAATCAATCAATCAGTAGCTGAACTGGGTTCCACACAGTCACAGAAACAAATGAACCGAAAAAGCCTCAAAAACAAAAATGCAAAATAAACAGCAAAAACAAAAGCACCAAGCTTAATCTGTTCCGGAAGTCTGTTTGACTTCCAAAATGCTCGAAAACCAAGGTGCAGCTTCTGAGTGGTGCAGGCTCCCTGGAAGCAATATCCGATGACCGCGCCGGACATTTGGCTTCTGAAAAATATTCTAAAACCAGAACACTTACTTCCAGCTTTTTGGTGTTTGAGAACCAAGGTACCACTGTATGTGATAAAGGGGAACCAACCAGGGTGAAGGCGTCTTCTTCTATTTGTCCGCATGTCAGTTTCAGTTTATTGTTTAGTTATTCCAATAGGGCTGTCAGGTAAGGGCGCTGAGGTCCGTTTTTTTGCCTACTGTGAAACGTGGTGTTTGCACCGCCAAATGTTGCAGGGGGCAATTTGCAGGCATTTGGTGCCGTTTTCGAGTGAATCGGATGACGTCAGAATTTTGGCGAAAACCGTGACCCCGCAGAGGGGCTGTTTGGGTTGTGTGTGTTTTGCATTTGATAGAAGACGCCGAAATAAGCAAACGGAAGCACCAGTGAGATATATCTCAGCTGCTTTTTATTCTGGGACTAAGAGGGGTCCCGCAAAAGGCAGGTCAGGTCATCATGAATGGTTAGTGATGGTCTGGAAGAAAAAAGGAAAAGTATTTTAGATATAACTCCTGATCTAGAATTAGAGGCTGGGTATAAATGATAGCATCAAATTACAGGCAAGGGGAATTCAATGGGGCAGCTTGTCAAAGGAGAAGTGTTCTGTATATGGACCCTCCCTGGAGTCGGATAATCGGTCCGGGAGCAAGGGATCTGAAGGGCTGACCCTCTGCGTAGGGTCTGTTGAACCCTTGCTTGAAACCAAACCGGTTTATTGTCATGGGTTATGTATATCGCTTGCTGGGAGGGCTCTTAACACAAACCTGCAGCAAGGTTCCTTCTGGGCCAAGGGCAGAAGGGAAATGGAGGCCATGTGCCAGACCTCCATCACTAAGAATAAATGCCAGGGCTTGCTCTCTCCTCCTCCTCCCTCCTCCTCTCTTTTCCTTCTTTGTCATGTCATTTAGACTGTGAACCTGAAAGCAGAGATGATCTGATCGCTGATAACACACCCTCCAACATCTCTCTGATGAAAATAGGGATGTCCTTTTAAATAATGGTAATAATAATAAATAATAATAATAATTATACCCTGCCCATCTGACTGGGTTGCCCCAGCCACTCTGGGCAGCTTCCAAAATACAGTGGTACCTCATTTTTCAAGCATCTTGAAAGCCAAACATTTTGGTTTCCAAACACCGAAAACCCGGAAGTAATTGCTTCCGTTTTCGAATGCGCCTTGGAAGTTGAACGGCTTCCACTGTGCATTTTTTAATTTTTTTGCAACCGAATTTGCAGCCAGCCCTTTGCGCCTTGGTTTTTGAATGTTACGTAAGTCGAACGGTCTTCCGGAACAGACTACGACCGAGAACCGAGATACCACTGTATATAAAAACACCCCTATATCAGACTGCCTGCAGACAGCTCAGGGGTCGGATAACTCCATACCCTCCAACATTTCACAGATAAAAATAGGGGTGTCCTGAGGGAAAGCAGGACATTCTGGGATCAAATCAGAAACCGGGATGGCTTCTGTAAATCCGGGACTGTCCCTGCAAAATAGGGACACTTGGAGGGTCTGCTGATATTTGAATAAAAACGATTTTAGTAAGAATAATAATGATTCAACCATCACTTGCAATGGTTAGGAAGCCCAGCCAGATGGGCGGGGTATAAATAAAAAATTATTATTATTATTATTATTCCTGGGGCATCGACAAAAAAGCCCTCCAGTAACCTCCCAGCTCTTACTCCCAAGTAATCTTTTGAATGGAAGAGCCTCAGCTCAGGGGCAGAGCAGCTGCTTGGCAGGCAGAAGGCTCCAGGCACGGCTGGGAAGAACGACCTGCCTGAACCTGCAAGTCAGTGCAGACAATACTGAGCTGAATGGACCACTGGTCTGACTCTGTAGAGGGCAGCTTCATACATGTTCCTACTCTTGGGGTCCCTCCTAACCCTACAATTCTATTCTAGGAAGACCTTGGCCCAAGGAAGGCCTTGCTTGGATAATTTGGGGCTGAGTAAAGGTAAAGGGGCCCCTGACTGTTAGGTCCAGTCGTGACCGACTCTGGGGTTGCGGCACTCATCTCACTTTACTGGCCAAGGGAGCCGGCGTACAGCTTCCGGGTCATGTGGCCAGCATAACTAAGCCGCTTCTGGCGAACCAGAGCAGCACACGGAAACGCCGTTTACCTTCCCGCCAGAGTGGTACCTATTTATCTACTTGCACTTTGACGTGCTTTCAAACTGCTAGGTTGGCAGGAGCAGGGACCGAGCAACGGGAGCTCACCCCGTCGCGGGGATTCGAACTGCCAACCTTCTGATCGGCAAGTCCTAGGCTCTGTGGTTTAACCCACAGAGCCACCCACGTCCTAAATCGTGCTTTGTGCATGCGCAGAAGTGCTGAATCACAACCTGTGCGTGCGCAGACGAGCCGCTGTGGGTTGCGAACACTGTGGGTTGCAAACGTGCCTCCCGTACAAATCACATTCACAACCCGAGCATCCACTGTACTTGCATGCAGATGCTGTTTTGATTTCATGTCCAGGGGTTTGGGAGGAAAAGGAAGCTTCGGAAAGGGGGCTCTCCCAAATTATTTTCGATTCAGCTGTGCTGAAATGCACTTCCAAGCATGGGAGCCACCGGGTGGGTCTCCTTCGCAACCGCTTACTTCCTGAATCCAGGTCTCGAAATCGGAGACGCGGGTGAAGACGGTGGGTTTCTTCAAGGCGTTGCACCCCAAGGCGGAGACAAAGCTGGCGATGCCATGGACCTCCCATCTCCCGTCAGCAGCCTTGCAGTTCAGGGGGCCGCCAGAGTCGCCCTGGAAAACGCAGCAAAAATAATAATTGGGGGTGGGCTAGATGACCGCTGGGTGTCCCTCTACAACTCTGCAATTGGAAATAAGCTGTACAGTGAAAGCGCTGAAGGGGGAGATTCTGCTTAGGATGTGGGCCCCCCCAGCTACTACCCTGAACCGAAGTCTCACCCCCAAATACTTTGCGCTTCTTTGAAACTTGCGGCTCCCCCAGGTTTTGCAGAGGCAATGCCGTTTTCGCTAAATCAGACTCCTCGCTCAGAAAACAATATTGCTGTTATGGAATATACATACTTACCCACCATACTGTATTGGCCTGAATATAAGTCACACTTCCCCCCAACCCAAATTCCGACCGTGAAAAGTTAAAGTGCGGCTTAAATTCATGACCTTGCAAAAATTGGCTTTTACGATATTGCTGCTGAATCAGATTTACGGTAAAAAGGAACAAAAAATTTTTATTGGGAACTTGAGGCTGTTGTGCAATTAATTCTAATGTCGTCCATCACTTTCCCCGTATTTTACAGTGCAGTATTGTTTCATTTGTTTGTTTGTTTGTTGCATTTACGGTGCTACAAACAGGTGTTTAACCCACTTGTGGGTCCTCTCTAGCAGCTGTAGGATTTTCTTCTACATTTGCCATTTACGGGTGCCTGCGGAATTTTAAGGGAGCGGCTTATATTCGGGTATTGCCTTTTTTTCTTTTTCTCCGCTTGAATTTTAAAGGTGTGGCTTATATTCAGGCCAATACGGTACTTGCCAGAAATGTGGTTGCTGCCTTAAGCTCCCAGGAGGAAAGCTGGACTATAAATTAAGCAAGCAAACTAACAAACTAACAAGTAAGTACCTTGCATTGCCCTTCATCCTAAGGGGAATAAAAGGAGGCCAGCATTTGTAAGCCACTTTTGCACCGTACATTTAAAGTTCTAGATACCACTTTGAACAGCCATGGCTTCCCGCAAAGAATCCTGGGAAATGTAGTTTGTTAAGGTCACTGACCTTATACGGTGGTACCTTGGTACTCAAACACTTTGGTTCCCAAACGCCAAAAACCCAGAAGAAAGTGTTCCGGTTTTCAAACGTTTTTTGGAAACCGAACATCCAATGCGGCTGTTGGCTATTGTTTCCGGGGTGCCTGCACCAATCGGAAGCCGCGCCTTGGTTTTTGAACATTTCAGAAGTCAAACAGACTTTCGGAAATGATTAAGTTTGGTGCTTTGGTTTTTGCTTTTTACTTTGTGTTTTTGAGGCTTTTTCGGTTCATTTGTTTTTGTGGCTGTGTGGAACCCAGTTCAGCTACTGATTGAACGATTTTATAGTACAATACATTGATTATTGCTTTCATTTTATGGATCAATGGTCTCGTTAGATAGTAAAATTCATGTTAAATGGCTGTTTTTAAAAGTCTGGAACGGATTAATCCATTTTGCATAATTTCTATGTGAAAGCGCACCTTGGTTTTGGAACGCTTTGGTTTTGGAACAGACTTCCGGAACGGATTAAGTTTCAGAACCAAGGTACCACTGTAGTCCTCTCCCTGAGATGCAGTTGTTAAACTTCTCTGGGAATTGTAGCTCTGTGAGGGGAATGGGGTGGGGTGGGATTATTCTAACAACACTTGGCACTCCTTAACAAACTTTACCATTTGTTTTTTTAAGTGAAAGCTTGTGAATATTTTGACAAGTGTTTGGACATGGTTTTAACTGTCTTGTTCTCTCGACAATCGCCCCGTGAGGCTGAGAGCGAGTGACTGCCCCTCAAGGTCACCCTGTTATGTACTGAAGTTCTCACCCTGGGCCAGCAGGGGGATACTGTAGATAGTTTTCACTCAGGTCTGCATATGCAAATAAGGAATTGAAAGTGACGTTCAGTGATTGGATAGTTACAGAAAGTTGTTACTGTTGCTTTGTAGTTGAGCTCTATATAAGGAGGTTGGCTGAACCCTTCAGTTCAGTTCTGTTCTGGCCTGTGACTAAACAAGAGCTGTCTGAAGAATCACTGCGTCATCTGATATGTTCACCCACAACTTAACACACCCATTGAGAGCTACCTGGCTAGATGGAGGGGGTAGGATTTGAACCCAGGTCTCAGTCCGATGCTCTAACCGCTATGCTACACCGGCTCTCGACGGCCACATCTGGAGGGCTGGATGCCACAGCACATCGGCTAGCCCTGAAAGCATCTTCTCCAAGACTCTTGTTCCTTCCAAGGGCCAAACTCCCATTTCCTCCCCGGACTTACGTTGCAGCCGGCACGGATGTCCCCTCCTGCGCAGATCATGTTTTGCCGGATGACGCCTCCCCACCAGTCCTTCTGGTTGCAGTGTTGGTTGTCCACCACTGGAAGAATGGCCTGCTGGAGTTTGGATGGAAGGGGGCCGTTCGCTGCGAAGGAAGGCGCAGTTGGTCAGGGGTCAAGGGTCAGGGTGGATAAAAAATCAATGGTGTTTTTTAAAAAAATTAATAAAATAAATTGGATTTAAAAAAAAATTAAACTGGATTTTTTTTTAAAAAAATTAATTTTGATTTAAATTGGATTTTTGAAATAAAATGCTTTTTGAGGAGAGATCATTCTAAAGATAGTTTTCTGTTTAAGTTGTATTATAGTCCAAAGGCTGTTCATCGGGAAATAAGGATTTGTTTTAAGCTTTTCATGTGTGCTAAAACTCAGTCTATGGGACGCGGGTGGCGCTGTGGGTAAAAGCCTCAGCGCCTAGGGCTTGCCGATCGAAAGGTCGGCGGTTCAAATCCCCGCAGCGGGGTGCGCTCCCGTTGCTCGGTCCCAGCGCCTGCCAACATAGCAGTTCGAAAGCACCCCCGGGTGCAAGTAGATAAATAGGGATCGCTTATCAGCGGGAAGGTAAACGGCGTTCCGTGAGCAGCTCTGGCTCGCCAGAGCAGCGATGTCACGCTGGCCACGTGACCCAGAAGTGTCTCCGGACAGCGCTGGCCCCCGGCCTCTTGAGTGAGATGGGCGCACAACCCTAGAGTCTGTCAAGACTGGCCCGTACGGGCAGGGGTACCTTTACCTTTACCTTAAAACTCAGTCTAAGTTTTTTGTTTTTTTTTAAATTGTTTAACCACATCAGTTAACAAACATGGATATATATGCTCAGTGCTTTTTTTCCTGGGGATACGAAGGGGTACGCATACCCCTCAACATTTTGTGAATCTTTTACCTTTGTCCATTTACTGTATTTCCCCCCGATTTGAACTATAAAATGGTGATTTTCTTGAGTACCCTAAACATTGTTGTTGTTTTATTTTATTCTTCTATGTTATTTTTGAAAAATTAATAAATTGTTATAAAAAATAATAATAAAAGACCACTATTACCAAAGAAAGAAAGAAAGAAAGAAAGAAAGAAAGAAAGAAAGAAAGAAAGAAAGAAAGAAAGAAAGAAAAGCAGGTGTTTTGCCCTTGAGCCTGTCCCCTAAACCAAAATCCCATTCCACTCTGTACAAACAGACAGGAGCGCCACCGGCCTCCCCAAGGACACAAAGCTTCTTTATATGCGTGCACCGTAGAATTGTTGGGAAGGACCCCCAAAGGTCATCTATTCTAACCCTCTTGCGATGCAGAAATGGCAGCTCAAGAATTCCCGTCAGATGGCCGCCCAACCTCCGGGTTTTTTAAAAACCACTAGCCTCTGTTTTAAAACCCTCCCTCTCCAGGCCCCCTTCAGATAAGGGCGGAACCACTTACTGTACAGCCGTCCCCAGCCGCTGATGTAACAGGGGTAATCATTAGGCAACACTTCCCCTGCGGGGGGGAGGCACCCCAACTGCACTGTGTTGCTCAGCTCCGCGGCGCGGGACAGCTTCATCAGGGCGATGTCGTTGCTGGACGGAGAGAGAGAGAGAGAGTCAAGAGGGTGCTCTCTGGGTGGGGCAGCCCAGGTCAGTCCATAGGGCTAAATGTGGTTCTGCCCCACCAGCTTCAGTTCATCCAAACCCACTGGCCTGCCTTCTGACATCTGGGTCATAGCCCTGCCTCTCCTCCTCCTCCTTAGTACAGTGGTACCTTGGTTCTCAAAGTTAATCCGTTCCGGAAGTCCATTCCAAAACCAAAGCGTTCCAAAACCAAGGCACGCTTTCCCATAGAAAGGAATGCAAAACAGGTTAATCCGTTCCAGACTTTTAAAAACAACCCCTAAAACAGCCATTTAACATGAATTTTACTATCTAACGAGACCGTTCATACATAAAATGACAGCAGTAATCAATGTAAGGTAAAGGTAAAGGGACTCCTGACCATTAGGTCCAGTCATGGCCGACTCTGGGGTTGCAGCGCTCATCTCGCTTTATTGGCCAAGGGAGCTGGCATACAGCTTCCGGGTCATGTGGCCAGCATGACTAAGCCACTTCTGGCAAACCAGAGCAGCGCACGGAAATGCCATTTACCTTCCCGCTGGAGCGGTACCTATTTATCTACTTGTACTTGACATGCTTTTGAACTGCTAGGTGGGCAGGAGCAGGGACCGAGCAACGGGAGCTCACCCCGTCATGGGGATTCGAACCGCCGACCTTCTGATCAGGAAGCCCTAGGCTCTATGGTTTAACTAACAGCACCACCCGCTTCCCTCTAATAATCAATGTACTGTACTATAAAATAAATAAGACAGTACTGTGGATGATGAAAATTAAAATTAATGTTGTATGTTTGACAACGGGACTGAATGGGGGGGGGAAAACCTTTTTTACTTTCCTTCTATGTGATTTACAAGAACCCCTCCTCATTAGAATCGTCGGTTGAACTGACCCAAGCAGGATGATTAAGGTCTGTGTGGAGATAAACTTTAACCAAAAGTATGCTTTATGGAGGGACGCGGGTGGCGCTGTGGGTAAAACCTCAGCGCCTAGGACTTGCCGATCGCATGGTCGGCGGTTCGAATCCCCGCGGCGGGGTGCGCTCCCGTCGCTCAGTCCCAGCGCCTGCCAACCTAGCAGTTCGAAAGCACCTCCGGGTGCAAGTAGATAAATAGGGACCGCTTACTAGAGGGAAGGTAAACGGCGTTCCGTGTGCTGCGCTGGCTCGCCAGATGCAGCTTGTCACGCTGGCCACGTGACCCGGAAGTGTCTCTGGACAGCGCTGGCTCCCGGCCTATAGAGTGAGATGAGCGCACAACCCTAGAGTCTGGCAAGACTGGCCCGTACGGGCAGGGGTACCTTTACCTTTACCTATGCTTTATGGAGATCGAGAAGCAATAAGAGCTTTTGGAATGGCGCAGCAATTAATTCGGAGTCACCATCTTGCCAAAGGATTTATAGCCGGGAGGACAGAACGGACTTGTTTTCAGACTGCATTCCTGGTGAATCTCCTCAGAGGTTTTGAGAAAGGAGGCAGATTGGTGAAGATTAATGACGCTAAGACTGTTTTGATGTATGGAAGTGATGTTATATGGAAAACGTCTGGATATGTTTACTGGATAAAAAAATAATATCCACGCAGGATTACAAACTGTTCTAACCAGCTTGTGGATACTATCAGAGGTCACAAAGAGAAAGGACAAATATATGAAAATAACAACAAGAGATGTGGAAAAACAATAAGAAAGGACTGGATAGTACTGTGAACATCATAAGGTTAGATTTGTGGACATTAAAACAGCAGCAAGAAGCAAGAAGTTGATTGGATCCCCTTCGAAACTTGAAATATGGGTACCCCCAACAAAAACTTAAAATTCGGCTGTGTAATTTGGAATTTATGTAATTTGGTTTGATCTGATGTGATTGGTCGGTTAATAAAAAAATATTCTTAAAAAAAAGAAAAGAAAATTAAAATTAATGTTTTTTCTTACCTGCACTGATGATAGTCATTGTTTGGATGGGGGCTTTTATCCATTTCCACAGTCACACAATCAATCAATCAATCAATCAATCAGTAGCTGAACTGGGTTCCACACAGTCACAAAAACAAATGAACCGAAAAAGCCTCAAAAACAAAAACGCAAAATAAACAGCAAAAACAAAAGCGCCACACTTAATCCTTTCCGGAAGTCCGTTTGACTTCCGAAATGTTCAAAAACCAAGGCACAGCTTCTGATTGGTGCAGGCACCCCGGAAACAATAGCTGACAGCTACATCGGACGTTCGGCTTCTGGAAAATGTTTGAAAACCGGAACACTTACTTCTGGGTTTTCAGCATTTGGGAACCAAAGCGTTTGAGAACCAAGACATTTGAGTACCAAGGCGTTTGGGAACCAAGGTACCATTGTATACTCCGAAAGGAGGAGAAGGAGGAGGAGGAGGATGGAGAGAAAATATAACTGAGTTGGCTCTCCCTGTCATTGACTCTGACGCCATCTGCTGGTCAGCTCCCTGACTTCCAACCCACCAGTCCCAAGGGGCAGCTGATAGGGATCTGACCCTGAAGCTTCAGCTGGCCCAGAATGCTGGTGCCGGACTAGAGATGGGTTTGTTTATTTATTTCATAAAATTTATACACCATTTGAAAAATAAAAGCAGATTTTTTTTCTAAACAGCTTAACAAAATAATCACCACCACCATCATTAATTCAATTTATATAGCACCGTTTATCAGAAGATCCCAGGGCGGTGTACAGTGGTACCTCGGGTTACAGACACTTCAGGTTACAGATGCTTCAGGTTACAGACTCTGCTAACCCAGAAATAGTACCTCAGGTTAAGAACTTTGCTTCAGGATGAGAACAGAAATCGTGTGGCGGCACCGGGAGGCCCCATTAGCTAAAGTGGTTCCTCAGGTTATGAACAGTTTCAGGTTAAGAAAGGACCTCCAGAATGAATTAAGTGCTTAACCCAAGGTACCACTATACAACATTAAAAACACATTGCAGAAAACCAGTGATAAAAACATAACAAAGCCATAATAAAAAGCATACAGACAGATAATAAAATAGTCATCATAATAACAGTCCTCTCCCTCCCAGTTTCTCAGGCCATAGATTATTTAAAGCCATAGGCCTGGGTAAAGAGGAATGGACTGGACCGCCCCTGCCCCCAAGATGGAGCCAGTTTTTAATGTTTGAAGTTTTATTCTGTTTTTGGTGTTCTGTTGGGAGCCGCCCAGAGTGGCTAGGGAAGCCCAGCCAGATGGGCAGGGTATAAATAATTAAAAATTATTATTATTATTATTATTATTATTATTAGCCACAACTCACTTACCCACAGGCGGCACAAATGGAGATCCATTTGGGGTGCACAAAGATGTCATTGGAGTTCACAGGAATGCGCTGCTCACTTCCTTCTTCTGCATCCATGTCATATTCACCTACCACAACTTGATATGTCCGAGATTTGCTGTGAGAGTGTAGGAGAAACACGGAGAAGAGGCCATCATAGACTCATAGATCTGTAGCGTCATCTGGTCCAAACACCACCATCTCCGCAATGCAGGAAACATATCTAGCAGACGGCCATCCAAACTCTGTCTAAAAGCTTGCAGCTCTTGAAGGAGAGTCCACCACCTCTTGAGGGAGACCGTTCTACTGTCAAACAGCTTTCTCCATCAGAAAGGTCTTCCTAAGATTTAGTCGGAAATTCCTTTCTTGCAATCTGAATTCATTGGTTCGGGTCCTATCCTCCAGAGCAGCAAGACACAAGCTTGCTCTGTTTTCCACATGGCAACCCTTCAGATATTTGAAAGTGGTTCTCAGTCTCCTCTTATCCAGTCTAAATGTACCCAACTCCAGACCCTTCTTAGAGCGTCTCCACCCCCATCGTTCTGCCCAGACGCTGAGGTCCAGCACCAAGGGCCTTCTGGTGGTTCCCTCCCTGTGAGAAGCCAAGTTACAGGGAACCAGGCAGAGGGCCTTCTCGGTAGTGGCGCCCTCCCTGTGGAACACCCTCCCACCAGATGTCAAAGAGGACAACAACTACCAGACTTTTAGAAGACATCTGAAGGCAGCCCTGTTTAGGGAAGCTTGTAAAGTTTGATGCATTATTGTATTTTAATATTTTGTTGGAAGCTGCCCAGAGTGGCTGGGGAAGCCCAGCCAGATGGGCGGGGTATAAATAATAAATTGTTGTTGTTGTTGTTGTTGTTGTTGTTGTTGTTTTGTTGTTGTTTTGTTGTTTTTCCCATACCCTCCATCACCCTGGTCGCTCTTCCCCGCACACCTTGCAGCTTCTCCATGCCCTCCCTAAACTGTGGTGCACCCAGAACTGGACACAGGACTTCAGGTGGGGTCTGACCAAGGCATCACGGGGAATGACCATCCCATGTCCCCTGCATCCCTGATGGAAACTGATAGAATACGAAATGGACCGGTTCACCTGTCTGTAAGGCAACCAGCTCCTTCTGCCTGTAAACTCTCTCTCTCTCTCTCTCTCTCTCTCTCTCTCTCTCTCTCACACACACACACACACACACACACACACACACTGTGCCCACCCCTTACCACCTCCAAGATAGCTTACGAGATGCAGTGGGCAGCAGTCATGACCCAGTTGGGGGCAATGAGGGTGCCCCCGCAGGTGTGACGGAATTCGCCATCCTTCTCGTACTGGAGGGAGATCTGTGGGAAGGCAAGAGAGGCGGCGGGGAAGGGATTAAGACACCATCCTAGACACAGATCTGTGAAGGGAGTCAGAATATACAGTGACAGAGATCAGGATGCAGGGGGGGGGGCGACCTTTGTTACTGGTATAAGAAAAAAACTTCTCCTTTTCGCTTACGGGGTATCCAAGAGCCCGTATAGAGTCCTTAAGTGGGTTCCCTATCAGAAATGGGCCAACAAGAGAATACAGTGGTACCTCAGGTTAAGTACTTAATTCGTTCCGGAGATCCGTTCTTAACCTGAAACTGTTCTTAACCTGAAGCACCACTTTAGCTAATGGGGCCTCCTGCTGCTGCCGCACTGCCGGAGCACGATTTCTGTTCTTATCCTGAAGCAAAGTTCTTAACCTGAAGCACTATTTCTGGGTTAGCGGAGTCTGTAACCTGAAGCGTATGTAACCTGAAGCGTATGTAACCTGAGGTACCACTGTATTGAGAAGCAAAGCATCTAGTAAGCCTGATCTTTATTAACTGTTGCAACAGGCTCCCCACTCACCACACGCAGGATGCAGAAGGGACCCTGAGCAATGGTGCGCAAGCCCCTATATAGACTTTTGAAATTGCCCACCCTGTCACTCAAGACCCACCCCCTAAAACATCATACATACATCACAGAAGGAGGCTGTGATGGCCTGGGAATCCAATTCAGAGGATGAACCGGAGGAATCCCAGCCTGCACAGGAGTCCCCGCCTCCAGGGCCGGCTGAACTGGGGCAGGGCCTTGATTCTGAGGCGCCTGCACCTGTGCTGGATCCTCAGGAGCAGGCACCAGGTGAATCCATTCTGGCTCCAGAGGTGGTTGAGGACTCAGTGCCTACAGGTGAGTCTCCCCCTGGGCCCAGTAACCCTTCAGCCTCTCCTGAACTGCAGAGGCTCAGGGCAGAGAGGCGAAGGGAACTGGTTTCTCCCAGGAGGAGTGCTCGCCTTAAGGCCAGGAGAGGTGGGTCTCCTGGGGGCCGGGACCGCCCCTGGCCTCAGAGAAGATAAAGGCCAGTCAGCCCAGTCTCAGGTGGCGGGAGCAACGTCGTCGTTGAGTACCTGCTCCTGTCCGGACCCAGACCTGACCCTCCAGTGTTCCTGTCCCCGCTCGGCTTCCTGCTTCGGACCTCGCCCCGTTCCTTGCGAACTGTTTCCAGGCTAGTGACCCAGGACCGGACTTCAACTACGTCAACGGTAACCTTCCCCCCGGGACCAGCACAGAGGCGATCTACAGCAGAAATCCTGTCTGCCAGGAAACCCGATAATGGTCACTGATTGCATTACCTGGGCAGCCTGGCCATTTTTTTGTGATGGTTAATACTTTTAGTTCCTGACTCCAGGTCACAGGCTCACCCTATTCATACACAAATACGCCCTTAAGACAGGATTTGCAAGCAAAAAGACAATGGGAAGGCTTTTCCCATTTCCTCCCTCCTTGCAGAGAAATATATTGAGGTCAATTTGGGAGAGTCAAAATGGCTTCAGGATTGCTCTCCTGTACTATTTCAGACATGTGGCTTATATACCGTATTTTTTGCTCTCTAAGACTCACTTTTTCCCTCCAAAAATAAGGGGAAATGTGTGTGCGTCTTATGGAGCGAATGCAGGCTGTGCAGCTATCACAGAAGCCAGAACAGCAAGAGGGGTTGCTGCTTTCACTGCGCAGTGATCCCTCTTGCTGTTCTGGCTTCTGAGATTCAGAATATTTTTTTCTTGTTTTCCTCCTCCAAAAACTAGGTGCGTCTTGTGGTCTGGCGCGTCTTATAGAGCGAAAAATACGGTACTTATGTATCTGTTTGCCTTGCACATTTATGAATTATATATATATATATATATATATATATATATATATATATATATATATATAATTCATAAATGTGCAAGGCAATATCCTCAGAAACCCCAAGGATAAAATCCAGTTGGAAAACCAAGGAGTCTATGAAATACCCTGCAAAGTCTGCCCAGCCACGTACATTGGACAAACAAACAGACGAATAAATGCACGTATCGCAGAACACAAGAATGCCGTCAAAAAAGAAGAAAAAACTTCCTCTCTTTTCCAACACATGAAAGAAACAGGACACGAAATTAATTTTGCAGATTCCAAATTGCTCTCTAACATGGAACATCACCACAAGAGAATAATCATGGAAGCCATCGAGATAGAGAAACACCCTCACAACATGAACAAGCGTGACGACACATCCCGCCTGCCAGACATCTGGAAATTAGCCCTCCCCACAAAAACCGACACCAGATCCAGAGGCACACAGAACGCCATCACCAACCAACCACACCAGACCCAAACCCAGACCCTCTCCACAGATAAATTACAGACACCATCCAGTAGCCAAACCATGGTGGCACCTCCGGATGCTGCACCCCCCTGCAATCCCTACACAGATCTGGCTGGCACAGGACACAAAACCACAGCTCGCCCCTATACACGAAGCCAAGCCAGAGCACAACTAAGTGCAGTACAGCCATCTTCTCAGAAAAACTCTTCACAAAGTTCAAGAGGTCAAGACACGAAGGCTTTAGCAACTAATCCACACCTAATGACCCACCTAAGTGGTACTCAGGATATCACTCAAGAAATCACTCAAGATATCCCTCAAGTAATTAAGGAACAAAAGAAGAAAAGGCACACTAGCCTGGGAACTTCCTCTCTGCCCAGAACATTGGAGGCTATACACCACACCCCTCAACAGTATTTATAGGAACTCAAACACTGAGATCCTGCTCTGTTCCAGTAACAAGAAGCCGAAAGCACCAGCCTGAAGATGACGAGTGAGACCTCGTCGAAACGTCGCCTAGACACCCCAACTTTTACACGGGAAGACACCCGAGGACACCAAAACCTGCATATATATATATATATATATATATGGGACCTTAGAATTCTTATAACATCTCTAAATTTGGGCTGTATCCCAACTGAGCTCTTACTGAAGAGAGCCCCTGTTGCACTAACTTCCCGCTTGTGGGCTTCCTAGAACAGGCATCTGGTTGGCTGCTGTGGGAACAGAGCGCTGGACTAGATGAGGGGGCCTTTGCATACCCCCCCCAACATTTCTCCAATGAAATTGGAGATGTCCTAAGGGAAAGCAGGACATCCTGGGATCAAATCAGAAACCGGGACGGCTTCTGTAAATCCAGAACTGTCCCTGGAAAATTGTCCCTTGGAGAATCAGCCTTGGCCTTGACCCAGCAGGCTTTGCTTATGTCCTTATGGCTACTACTTCCAATGGGTATACTCTGAGAAGGATGAGCATTGGATAGGAGCCAGTGAGTATTTTATGCCATTGGATGCAAAAGGTTTGGAGATATTCCTCTAATTAAGTGGTATATAAGTTGTGTTGTTGATGTTGTTGTTGCTGTTTTTTTATTTTAAAAAACGGATCTAAATGTAGCACAAGATAATAGAAGGAGAAGCAGCTTCCTTACCTGCCAAGGCCAGCTGTAAGGGATGGCATCTTCACCATTCACTACCCTGGCATTGGGGGTGTAGATAGGTGTTCCACAACTGGAGGCTGTGGGGAGAAGTCAGTGGTGGCTGTGAGTTGTGGGAGAAAGGAAGTGTTGCGTTCTGAAGGTAAAGGAAGGACTGGACCCTGATTAATACAATAGACCAGCAAGACCTCTGGGAGAAAGTGCGCTTGCCACCCCCTGGCCCAGGCCATTTTTATTAACAAAAGAACTTTTACACAGCATTTGTAAGAACCAATCAGATTTCCTCTGAGCATTTCAAAAACCCCATGTGGGGACAAAGTCAGATCAGAGGAAGCCTCTTAACTGCAAAGAACTATTTCCTATTTGAGCATGCATTTAGGCTAAATAAAACAGGAACCAAGGAGGAATGCATTTAGCAAACTCCGGAGGTCATAAAAGGAAAGACAGGCATTTTACCACCTCCATGTGAACTCTGTTTCCTGGACCTAAAGATTAACAAAAGCTACAGCAAAGCTACCTATCTTTATGTACCCAGGATGCCTGGTGAAGCAACTGGTCTGTGTAGAATGCTTATACGTGACTCCCAGGCATAGAGAAAATGGGGCAGAGATGCAGAGGCTTGTGGGACTGAATCAGAAATCACGTCAATGACTCAAACCCAGTCAAAGCAATGCTTTCACCGCTGACACAATGGCTTGCTTCATTTTTCATAATTCCTCATAGCAATCCCACATGACCACCACAGGAAGGAAGGAAGGAAGGAAGGAAGGAAGGAAGGAAGGAAGGAAGGAAGGAAGGAAATCATAGAATTGTAGGATTGGAAGGGACTCCAAGTGTCATCTTGTCCAACCCCCTGCATAGCTGTCAACCGTCCCTTATTTGGCGGGAAACTCCCTTATCCCAGCGCCATGTCCCGCTGCTGTCCCTTATTGATGATGTCCCTTAAATTTCCCAGGTTTCAAAGGAAGCAGCTCCTCTCCCTCCCTCTCTGCCGGTCAGGGAGGAGGGAGGCTCCAACTGTGTTGTTTGGCTGCGTTGCTCACCCAATAAGGAGTCTAAGAACGACTGGGGGGGTGGAGCTTGCATGCCTTGTGCCGATCAAATCGGCCGCGTTGCCTGGGGACTCGCCTTTGCTCAGCGCCTCCCAGCGGAGAGATGACGGTGGTTTTCCTTGCTGCATCCCCTTTGCCAGGTTGCTGCACTGTGGGAACCACCGCTTGAGGCTTCGTTTGGCTGCTGGCTGGGCTTTCTGCCTTTGGCTCGGAGGGGCTCAGAAGCTGAACATACCTGTGCTCTGAAAATCCCTTATTTTGGCTGCTGATCGCTTATTTTTGAGGCTGCTGGTCCCTTATTTTCAAATCTGTAAGTTGACAGCTATGACCCCCGGCAATGCAGCCGTCACAGCTAATAATATACAAGCAATTACTAACAGGCACAAAAACAACCCCACTTGCTCTGAAGCTCTCCTCATTTTCAAGCCTCCCTCTCATGGAGGTCTGATTCAGGAGACAGCGCCACAGCAGATGGAGTCCAGGCATCAGGCATGCTCTCTGGCCGGCCCTACCACTAGCCAGGTGGCAGATTCTGGGTGGCAAGCCCCTGAGACCAACGCCGGTTTTAGAAGGGTGCTGCACATGGCACTGAGCTGAGGGGGTGCAAAATTGAGAAGATCCGTTTGGGGGTGCCAAATTTTGGCCTTCGCACTGGGCACCATTTTAACGAAAGATTATCAAAGTCCGCCTCTTTGCCAGAGGACTTGCCCTAGGTGGTTCCTCTCAAGTCTCTAAGCTACCCTACTTCTTGCCCTGAATAATTATCCCATTGCCGATGTCGAAGTAATATTCGCCTTGATAACTCATTCAGTTGGAGCATGGTGCTGATAACACCAAGGTTTCTTCCTTTTTTTAGCAATTTAATCTTTCCTGATATTATTTTTAAATATTAGGTCCCTTCACCACAAAAAGAACAAAAGGGGAAAAACCCAGATCCCATCAATTACAAAGAAAATGTTACATGTAAAATAAAATTGTTCCATATGTTGAGACTTCCATCATCCTCCATATGGGTCCTTTGTTTCCTTGTTGACTGCATATTTGTATATTCTTTAACTTATCATAAATTATTGATAATCTTTGTAGCATATAGCATTGCAGAAGTTAATCCAAGCACGTCAGAGATTTCATATGAGAACAATGTTCTTTTAAATATGGTCTGAATAAACCCCATTTTTTCTTAAACTTTTGGTTTGTCTGGTTCCTAATTTTCCCTGTCATCTTTGCCAATTCTACATACAGTGGTACCTCAGGTTAAGAACTTAATTCGTTCTGGAGGTCCGTTCTTAACCTGAAACTGTTCTTAACCTGAGGGACCACCTTAGCTAATGGGGCCTCCCGCTGCCGCCATACCGCCGCCACACGATTTCTGTTCTCATCCTGAAACAAAGTTCTTAACCCAAGGTACTATTTCTGGGTTAGCAGAGTCTGTAACCTGAAGTGTCTGTAACCTGAAGTACCACTATATTCAAATAATTTAACCTGCCACTCCCTTTTAGTTGGTATTTTATCTCCTTTCCACCATTTAGCTGTTAACATTCTCGCGGCAGTAGTTGCATACATGAATACCTTTCTCAGTTCCTTCGGAATATCTGCATCAAGGATGTCTAAATGAAAGGATGCCGGTCTTTGTCAAGGTTTCAGGTTCGATCCCCGTATGGGACAGCTGCGTATTCCTGCATTGCAGGGGGTTGGACTAGATGACCCACAGGGTCCCTTCCCACTCTACAATTCTAGGACTCTGTGATTCTAGGCTGCCGGTCCAGCCAGCTGGCAGGAAGGTAGCCTAGGGCATCTTGTCCTTTGCATCAAGCGGCAAAGTATCTTGGGCTAAGTCATGGCCAAGTGGAGTCAAGGGTGGGGCAATTATGGGCAATTATGGGCGTCCGTGTTTTGAAAACAGGATGCTGCAAAGGCTGTCCCTGTTTTGGTTTGGGAAGTGCTGGAGAGAAAAGGAGTCCCTCTTGTACGATTAGAGGCAGGGTGGGGCGAACGGTTCGCTCTCGCACATTGCATGAGCAGGATGAGAGGAAGAGAAAGATTAAGACCGACGGCAAGAAGTTGTTTCGATGCATGCTGAATGCTGGACGATTCAGGAGGGATAATAGAAAGTCCTTTGCACAGCACGTAGCTAACCTATGGAACTCCCTGCCACAGGAGGCAGCGATGGTCGCCACCTTGGATGGCTTTGCAAGGCAAATTTGTGGCTTTGCAAGGCAAATTCGTGGCTTTATAAGACAAATTCGTGCTCTGCCGTCACAGAGGCAGAATCCCAGTTGCTGGAACCTGCTGGAGGGGAGAGTGGCTCTTGTGCTTGAATCCTACATGCGGGTTTGCAAAATAGTGGCATCTGGTTGGTCACTGTGAGAATACGATGCTGGACTGGATGGGTCGCTGGCCGGATCCAGCATAGCTATCTTTTTCTGGGGGGACGCCGGAGGGATGCATACCCCTAAACATTTGGTGAATCTAAGTTTGGCCTCATTGGGGGGGGGCAGTATTTCAATATGAGTAGGAAAATTAGAGGGGGTTTTTAGGTTTTTTAGGAAAAAAGAAAGCACTGACTCTTTTTATTGGTTTATGTTAGAGAGAGAGAGAGAGAGAGAGAGGATCTCCTGGGTGCTGTGGCTTTCCCAATTGCCAAGGCCATATTAAAAACTAGGATATGGGACATAGATCGCCAGGAACTAATCTCAGCTGCGGAAGAAACATGCTCCCCTCTTTATTTTCGACTCTCTTGGGCGCAGGAATTTAACCTTAATTATTTACAATTTTTATTTAACCCGCAAGAAAGAAGGGCTTTTTCACTGGCTAGGTTCAATTCTAATCCTTCTAACCTCCTTTGGGGTAGGTTTGCGGGTATGGCAGAAGGAGATAGGATCTGCCCCTGCGATGCCCAGCTGGTGGAAACTCTAGCTCACATGGCCCTTAAATGTAAAACATATGATGATCTCCACCAACAATTTTTAGACCATCTATGTATTCCATATACATAGATCCGTATAGTTAAAGCTATGGTTTTCCCAGTAGTGATGTGTGGAAGTGAGAGCTGGACCATAAAGAAGCTGATTGTCGAAAAATTGATGCTTTTGTATTATGGTGCTGGAGGAGACTCTTGAGAGTCCCATGGACTGCAAGAAGATCAAACCTATCAGCCCTGAGTGCTCACTGGAAGGACAGATCCTGAAGCTGAGGCTCCAAGACTTTGGCCACCTCATGAGAAGAGAAGACTCCCTGGAAAAGACCCTGATGCTGGGAAAGATTGAGGGTGCAAGGAGAAGGGGACGACAGAGGACGAGATGGTTGGACAGTGTTCTTGAAGCTATGAACATGAGTTTGACCAAACTGCGGGAGGCAGTGGAAGACAGGAGTGCCTGGCGGGCTCTGGTCCATGGGGTCACGAAGAGTCAGACACGACTAAACGACTACATGTATTCCAACATGGAAACCAGAGACAGAGGTTATACACTTCTTATTACAGGGAAGTGACCAGGAGCATACCAAGACAGTAGCTAAGTTCCTCTGTTTGATTTTTTGTACGCTACATGATCCCGCCCTTGCTGGAGACCCACAGAGTTGAAATAGATTGCTCGCCTCTTCTTCCCTTTGGCAAATAACTGTACTGTTGAAACGGTGATGAGATTGCACTGGCCTATTTAGTCTGAATGTTTGTATGTGATGACAATAAAGGTTTGATGATGATGGAGAGAGAGAGAAAGAGAGAGAGAGAGAGAGAGAGAGAGAGAGAGAGAGATAGATTCTTACCACCAGCCACCAACAGAACGGGTATCAACAGCGCGAGCATCTTGACTGGGAGTTGCTTAGAGGCGCTGTGAAACTTTTAATACCCCTCCTTATCAGCACCAGGAAGTTTGGGTGCCCTGCACAGGTGTTGAACTCTCTCGTTGCCAGCAGCCAAGGCCATTTGAGGGGGGGTCAGTCAGGCAATGGAAGGGAAAAAATCTACCCGCTCTTGGGGTGAGGAATTGTAGAACTGCAGAGTTCAAAAGGACCCCAAGAACCTTCTAGTCAGCATCCCTGCAGTGATGCTGGAAGCAGGCCTTTTGTGTGGTGGCCCCCTACTCCTTGGAATATATTCCTGAAAGAAATTGAGAGACAGTGTGGTGTAGTGGTGTAAGGGTTGGACTAGGAGAGACCAGGGGTGAAATCCCTACTTGGCCATGAAACTTGCTGGGTGACCTGGCAAATTGGGTGGAGGAGAGCTATGTCTGCTGCCTTGAGCTCCTTGGGGGATAGAAGCTGGGATATAGACATGATACTGTAAATA